ATTTGACCTTTCAATTTATGCCAAGATAATTCACATCAAAAAATACAAATAATTAACTTTATCATATAAACTAGTAATTATCTTATAATTTGATCATTATCTTCCAATTAGATTAAGATATACATTACCATAATAAATAAAAACGAATTTTAATTAGAAAAATAAATTATGGTAATTATCCAAATCTAGTTTTAGCAAAAAGTTCGAAATTCTGCTGTCAGAACCGACTTCACGTCGTGACAAGCTATTGTCACGTCATGAACCTGGTTCAGAATCAAAATCGAAATTTTTTCCTGCTTTGAAAACTTTACTTTTGCATCATATAAAAGAAAAACTACCCTAGGCTCCGATACCACTGATGAGTTATGAGCATTACATCACTCCTATGGTGCACATGCAACCCTAATGCTTTGGATCTAGGTTTTTCTCAAGTTATACATACAACAAAATTATCCAAAGCATGAACTGTAAACTAGCATGCTATATTTCAAAATTTATATCTAATAGAAAGCTAGAAGATTACCTTTCAATTGTAGCTTGCTTGATCTTCAACCTTTGAGAACTTAACACCTCAAATGTGACGCCTCTAATAGATGACAAACACCAAGAGCAAGTTGGAGGAATATGAGAGAGGCTAGGGAGCACAAAAAATCGGTTGGCTATCCTTCTTAGGGTTCAAGTGCCCATTTTAGGAGTCCCATAAGGTCCTTATATAGCTGAGCTACTAGGGTTTTAGTCAAAACCCTAGTCTGATTGTTTAGGCCTTAAGCAGTCCACAGGATCCTTCCAGAAGGCCCCTTATGGACGAATTCTTCTATGGGCTACCATAGAATTCGTCCACCTCCTTCTTTTAGGAGTGCACAGCCCATCTTGCAATTATCTTATAATTACAATATTAGTCTCCCTTAATTTAATTAATCTCTTTTGATCACTAAATTAATTCCAAATTAATTCTTGACCAATATTAATTAAATAATATGATTTCTCAATTAATATATTATTCTTATAATATATTAATAAATCACAATTAATCTCTTTCTCCATAATTCATCCAGTCAAGTTGTTATGGTGAAGGCAACTCAAAAGTAACATGCTACTATCGGGTCAAGTACATACCAATTATAGTTATGGTCTTAGATACCTAATCCAACAATATAATCATACTACATAACAAGAATTAGCATACAAAACGATCATCGGGCCCCGCCCAGTAAGCATATAAGCACATACACATAGTAGTGTCACACAGACAACGAGTATACTAATATAACAAATTATGGGTTGGCATTGGTGCCTTCAACCCGCTACACATGGTGAGGAAACTCATATTGAAAATCTGAACGATAGCTGAATAGGTCCCGACTCCGAATATTAGCTCTACCCATCACCTATTCGATAAATAGTGACTAATCCTTATATACAACCCAAAATGCCTCAAATACCCCTTAGGTTAAACTTGGTCAAAGACAAAAGTCAAAAGTCAAGGTCAACAGTCCATGTTGACCTAACACGACGTGTGGACTTGAAAACACGTCGTGTTTCGCCATCATCCAGACAGTCCGGAAAACCCCATCCAATATGTCGTGTTGACTTGCAAACACGCCGTGTTTGCCTGAGTTCCAGCAGCTTAATACATTCAACTGTTTTTTTTTTGTCTCCAAGAGCTCCAAAGCTCAGATCTAGACTAAAATGAGATTTAGAAGGATAAAGTTTCCAACTTTATCCATTGGGACAACCAAAAATGGTCCAAAACCAAACTATAAGGCTTGATAGGGCAAGGGCTTAATCAATAAGCACTTAATCCTTGAAGACCTAGCCCTAAAACATAGATCTGACTTCCTTGAGCTGGAAAACCACGCAAAGTTGCCAACTTTACGTTCATGCATGCCTAAATGAAGCTATTAAGATTAAAAGAGACTTAATAAGTGACTTAAAATGCATGCATGAAACCATTTATCTCATAAACCTTATGCTCAAGGAGTCCAAAACAAACTCAGATCTGGCATAAGAAGTCCTTAAAACGACTTCACTCTCTCAACAACCCAAAAAGGGACCAAAAGCATAACAAAGCACAATATTTGGATATCTAAGCATCTATAAGTCAAGGTTCAAACTTCCAGAATCAAAAGAATTGATTCTCAAGTTTTTTGTCCCCATTAAGCCATGTTTAAATTTCCTTCTTTGGTTGTGACATTCTATTAGAATCAAGTGATTCCATTCCAACAATGACAAGATTCATTCATGAACCATGATTCAACATTCAAGATTTCAAGTATTCAAGAATCAAAATTTCAAGGAAAACTGTTAAACTGATAATAATAAAACATTAAAACTAATAAAACTAAATCTAATAAAATTGTGAATTTGTGATAATGATAATTGTCTAAAACTCTAATTAATAAATTGTAAAAAGTAATTATGTAATTCATAAATCTGATCATAATCGTTTATTCGTTTACGGTTTACCTGATTATGTGATTCAAAGCAATTGACTAACTGAGTCCTGATTACTGTTTCTCACTTCCTGTCGTTGAGTGCATCAGTTGTTGAATTGTTGCCCTAATGCCCTTGAATGTTGCTATCGTTGTTTTCCTGTTTCACTGCCTGAGTTGTTGTCGATGTGGCCGACGAGTGAAGACGCTGCCACACAGTTAATGTGAATCGTGATAAATGATAATTGATAAAACTAGTTCATAAATCGTAATTCTCCTTGACTCCTACTACTGCGATGCTCAATTGCTCATGCCGTCTTGTGCCTACGTGACCCAAAACTTGACTTTTCTGCATTGACTTTGGGCTTGGCCAAAAGTGAATATACTATAGTATTAAAAAAAAATTGGGCCCCTAAAAATAAAGGCCCTTTGTATGTGCACGGGTTGCACAACCTCATCACCGGGCCTACAATCTTGATACCTCAAAAGCTTTCCAAAAAGGGTGGTGATTCTGGATCCAAAGCCTTTCCACCAAGCAAGACAGCTTCAAGAACTTCTTACTAGCTCAAGAACACTACCAAAAGACTTAATGATCAATTTTAGGGTTTTAGCAGCAATGGAGGCTGGTAAGGAGGCCGACCATGAGGACTTAAGGCCTTTATATATGGTGCAACACCCTAAAAATTAGGGTTTCTCAACCAGCCGCCAACACACCGTGTTATACCACCAACCAAAGTCTTAACGATACGCCGTGCAAAGGCTTCTCCACGCCGTGTTCCGAAGGAAAAATCATGCACATATGGAAAAATTACTTTCATACTTGGAATCAAATGTTACATGTGAGCCGTACGAAATCTGTAGATGATAAAGTAAATGTTAGCTAAGGTGGGCTCGTCGATAATTTGTAGGAAATCAATAGCTATTTGTTTTCGTAGTTATTCCGTAGTTATTGTATCTACGGAAAAATCCGTAGGTATTCCGTAGCTAATCCTTCGCAAATCCGTTGGTATAAATTACCCACGGGCGTTTATGTTGTAGACCTTTTTCCGTAACAATTATGTAGGTATACCTTTATATCTACAGATTGTGCCATAGGTAAAACCCTTATTTTCCAGTAGTGTGATATTAGAGTTTGAAATGAATATATATATATATATATATATATATATATATATATATATATATATATATATATATATATATATATATATATATATATATATATATATATATATATATATATATATATGTTCAGGTTCATTTGAGACCATTCTAATTTTGTGAGACCGTGAGACCAAATCTAAAAATAATTTTAAAATGCAAAATAAATGGAAAAATCCAAAAATTCTTTTTTTAAATATTATTTTCGGAACTTGAATTAACTAAAAAAAATAATAAATAAAAAATAAATAAAAAAAATCCCGTTTTTTTTTTAAAAATACGTGAAATATTCTAATAGAATATATTACACTGACATATTCTAAAAAATAATTTTAAAATGCAAAATAAATGGAAAAATCTAAAAATTCTTTTTTTAAATATTATTTTCGGAACTTGAATTAACTAAAAAAAATAAAAATAATAAAAAAAATAATAAAAAAATCTCATTTTTTTTGAAAAATACGTGAAATATTCTAATAGAATATTACACTGTACATATTCTAAAAAATAATTTTAAAATGCAAAATAAATGGAAAAATCCAAAAATTCTTTTTTTAAATATTATTTTCGGAACTTGAATTAACTAAAAAAAATAAAAAAAATAAAAAAATGCATCTCACGGTCTCACAAAATTAGGCCGTCTCACATGAACCTATATATATATATATATATATATATATATATATATATATATATATATATATATATAATAGTTTCAAATTTCTAGGCGACGTATATGCACATGAGAGTTCAAATATGATAGTTTCAAATGACTATATAATAGTAACCGATAAAAATGAATTAAAATATTTATAAAATACTTAAAACTATTAAATATAAGAATTTAGACAAATACATGCATGTACGGAATTATCCCAACTTTTACTATATATATATGCATCGACCTTTGCTAAGTATAACGGCAAGAAACCCTTCGAATGCTAAATTGGTACATCATGACAAGTTTTCCACCGTTGCAAACTTTTCTCCTTTCTTTTTTCCCGTTCATCATATTGATGATTTTTATTCGTTTTGGATGGTTTTCATTTCGTTCCAAGACCAAGAAAAGCTTACCACCGTCTCCATGGAAGCTTCCAGTCATCGGAAACTTCCATCAACTGGGCTCAAGCCCCCATCGCTATCTGCAATCCTTGTCGCTGAAATATGGTCCACTCATGCTCATTCACCTCGGCAACGTACCTGTTCTTGTAGCATCGTCAGCAAAAGCAGCCATCGAGATTATGAAATTCCATGATTTATCTGTCTCTGGCCGACCCCGACTAATGATGCCTAATATACTATTATATGGCTGTAAGGACATAGCCTTTCATATGCCATCTTTTAAGTAATAAGCAAGTCAAGTCTTTCAGAAAAGTGAGAGAAGAAGAGATAGGTGTTACAGTTAGCATGCTTGCAGAAAGTTGTGGTTCAACAGTTGATTTGGGTGGATTGATAGTTTCACTTGCAAATAAAATAACTTGTAGGGTGGCTTTTGGAAGAACATATGATCATCATGGGTCGAAGTTCACAAATTTATTGATAAGGTTCATGAATATGCTAGGTGTTTTTTGTGTTGGGGATTACATTCCATGGTTGTCATGGGTGGATCGACTCAAAAATTTAGAGGGCAATGCAAAGAAAATTGCTACAGAGTTTGATGATTTTCTTGACTGTATTCTTAAAGAACATATAAGTAAGAAAAAAGGGGAAGATGCTAAGAGCGATAAAGACCAAGATTTAGTTGACATCTTACTGGATGTCCAAAGAAACGAAACAACTGGCTTTACCCTTGGCGACGATACTCTTAAAGGGGTCATATTGGTAATATTTCTCCCTCTACATCTCCAGATTAACGAGCTATGATTAAACTTGCTAATGATTTAATTGCCAGTATACTTAATAAGGGCGATAATTAATAGGAACCACCCTCAAAATGATTATTTTAATACATTATTCATGCTTTCTATATATAAGGGTGTAGTCAAGGATATAACAGAAATAATATTAATATCTTGCGATACTTGCCGTTACATTTTCTACCATCTCTCTTGCATTAATTATTAAGTAATGCTTTTGTCATATACATACACATATCTACCTTAAGTTCTAAATTTTTACTCGAAAAATCAATTTTATTAAGAAGCTACCCAGACTAGAGAGGAAATTACATAAAAGAAAGCGGGTTACAACTTGCAACACCCAATCTAACCAACTGATCACTTTTGACGAACTTTTAAACGATATGGCATGCACCTTTTCTTAATTAAGTTTTATATATCACTAATATTCTGTCTGGTTAGCTTTCAAAGTGTTTCTTTCATATGTAAAGCATCTATTTACAAACTAAGAGAAGACATGCAATTAAAACTTATTTTTTCATTTTGGAGTCTGCATATCCATATCATAATCTTGAAAATTTTAGTTGAGTGGTTCTTACATGCAAAGTATAATCACATAAAACAACTAAAGTATAAGTTTCTTGTAGGACATGTTTTCTGCTGGAACGGATACGACATTCACAAGTTTAGAGTGGGCAATTAGTGAGCTTATAAAGCACCCATCAGTAATGAAAAAGCTACAGCAAGAAGCAACAATAATTGCACAAGGCAGATCCACGATTCTGGAGGAGGATTTGGAAAAGATGCAATACCTAAAAGCTGTAATAAAAGAATCCTTGCGATTACATGCTACAGTCCCATTTCTTCCTCGAGAAACAACTGAAGATGTCAAACTAATGGGGTACGATATTCCAGTAGGCACACAGGTGCTAGTCAATGTTTGGGCCATAGGAAGAGATCCTACCTTGTGGGAAGATTCAAACAAATTTATGCCAGAGAGGTTCTTGAAAGACAATTCAACCGACTATAAAAGCCTTCATTATGATTGGCTTCCATTTGGTGCTGGTCGAAGAGGTTGCCCGGGTATTCAATTTGCTACAACTATCATGGAGCTTGCTTTAGCAAACATGGTACATAAGTTCCATTTCGCATTGCCAAATGGAATAAAAAATGAGGATATCGACATGAGTGAGACATATGGCATTACAGTCCACAAGAAGTCCTCTTTACTGGTGGTTGCAAGTCATAAACCATATTAACTTAATAAGTTATCCAACTTCAGTCCATTTAGCTACAATAATGAATCAACTAGTTTGAATTGTTTTTGTTATTTAGGAATATTGTTGTTATGCGGAAGCTTAAATAAAACGTGTTTGTGGTAAAAAGTACAACAAGAAAATGCTTCAAACCCTTTGGCTTTTTATATTTTCTTCTTGAATATACGTGTTACATCACATGTATACCGACAACTGCAAATGGTTTAATAATGTTGAAAAACCAAAAACATTGTCAACGCCTATTAGTGAAAAGTTTTTACCCGTAAAAGAGATATAGAGATATAGGGGTTATATCTACATCTACATCTATATATTCTATATCTTCTAATAAATTAAACCTAAAAATCACACGTGTCAATTTTTTAGAATGTTTGTTTGACACGTGACATTTTTCTATGATTTTTATTATTTACTTTTTTTGATAACAAGTCAAATTCAATTCAAATTTTGAAAATACAAAATCATATCCTAATAACATTATTATGTTTATTTTGCTTAACAAATTAATTCATAATTACTTACAATCGATAATATCTTGTTTTTTTTTGACATTTACTATTTTTTTATCTATATAAAATTTTTAAATATACTAAACGTAATTTCCACGGGTTATAACCTAGTGTTAAATAAATCAATAAATCACTACAAGAAAAGTGTTTATTAGTGACCAATAATTTAGTGACGACCTAAAGTTTGGTCACTAACAGCATCATTTAGTCACCATATATTAAGTTGTCACTAAATTCGGTAATCCTACAAATTTAATGACCAATTCTATGTTGTCGTCACTAAACTGTGAATAAAATTAAAATATATGTTTTTTGATATCATAACAAGTAGTGACTAAAAATAATGGTCACTGTTTTAGAGGATTAGTGACAAAAAATAATGGTCATTGGAGGTTAAGTGACTAAAAATGGTGGTCACTAACTATTCGAAACCCCCTAAACACGCTATGTGTTATGCAGATAAGTTGTGACCACATTGAAGTGCAAAGTAAAAAACAATTAGTGACAAAAATTGTAGTCACTGAATTGCAAACAATTAGTGACCAAAAATAATGGTCACTGGCTAAAAAAAGAAAAAATAAAATGAAAATTACAAAATCCACCAGTTACGTACTTGTCACACTCCAAAAACCTTACAAAATTCACAATATTTTATTTAGGTATTTTTTTTATTTCATCATAAATCTCACCCATATTTAATTGCTTAAAAAATATTTCATCTACTTTGTAAAGAAACATCCTTACATCACCAGGTATCATTAGCAAGACCCGACCCATGAAACTGATCCCATTGAAACATACACTATCCGACCCAACTCACAAGCCTTTCACAACCATTAAAATAAATCAAATAAACACAAATGTTGACATAATCATCCCTAAATCGACGCAGACGCACCTCTCTATCCGGTCTACCGTCGCGCTCCTCCCTCTCCCGTCGATCGCCTACGGACCTCGCTATGTCTCCGGTCTCATCCCCTCTCTATCATCTTTCGCATGTCTCTTTGTTCTTCTGCGCCATTAGATTGGAATATATCAGAGGATCCAGTGGTTGCGCCTTCACAGCCCTCCGATGGATCAGACGGCGGTAGTAGATCCTTTTGCAAGCAGCTTCCTGCCTCAGGCTTAGCTCATACCGCAGTCACCATCCTCCTGTACCATGCTTCTGTCATGGCGGACATCTGTTTGGTCCAATTGAATTACTCGGTGCTTGATGTTTATCGACCGCTTCAACCACACACTGCGTGACAGATTTCTTCATTAGTCGGCGCTTTTCTAATTAGAGCGCAACACAAGAGCTTCGACGTACAGGTTAGTCATCTGGTAGCTTTTCTCAAAATTAGGGCTCATTTCTTTTATAGTAAGCGTAAACTCTCGACTTCTCTCCATATCTTTCCTATCATCAACATCATCACCATTATTGTTTCCACTTTCAGTCGTCTCTACCTAACATCAAGCATAACAATGAAAGACGCAGAGTTCTGAAATCGACAACCTTTTTGTTCAAAAATGGAATAGGTCGTTCCAGGTATGAAGCTTGTAGTAGGACGGATTTTATGATTCAAACCTCATATAATTTAGGCCTTTTTTCTAAATTGGAGAATATTTTGATTAAAACTTCATATAAATTAGGTGGTTTTACAAAATTTGAAGAATTTTCTAATTAGAACTTTGTACCTTCTATAAGAAAAACTTAGACATCTTTGTGCTATCAGTTGCACTCCATCTGTTCGATTAAATGCTTGTCGAAGGATGATCATCAGCTCATTAATTTACCATCCTTGATAGTACGTCACTCGCCAAGGCTTTTGTTTCCACTTTATTTGAGGTTTTTATTAAATTAAGGAGAAAGGAGAATACAAACATCAGATAGTGTGCAGAACTGCAGATAGTGTGCAGATAAAGTGATTTCTTCCATTGTATATATATGCTTTATGATTTTGAGTGAATTGACAGTAAGATAAGTATTTAATTAAAAACAGGATAATCAGACCTTTTTTTTCTTTTCTTATACGAAGGTCTTGAATGTTTATTTCTTTTCTCCAAGTGTAGGAATGGGTAAGACAATGAGTATGCTTAGAAAAAAGAAGTATGATGATGCATGTAGAAAAGAGAAGTATGATGATGCATGTACAGAAAAGAAGTATGATGAGGCATGTAGCAGGATTACAATCAATAGTGGTGTGGCACCTTGGACAGATCTTCCTCATGACGTGCTTGTACTAGTTATGATGAAATTTGGAGTCATTGATTTCCTTGCATTCAGCAGAGTTTGCAAGTCATGGAGTAAACTAAATTGGTAGTATCAAGAACTACCAATTCAATATAATATCGGTGTCAGGTACTTTTATTATATAGAATCCTGGAATAAAAAGAAATGAAAGTAAAATACTTAAAAAGAAGACCTTTTTTAGTGATGTAATTTGCTGATGACTAAGTTTTGTGAAACAGGATGCATTTGATGTGTTTCTTCAACTTCCTCATAAGCAATATAACACAGGCTGGGTTCTCTCTCAGGTAAATTAATGTTTATATATATATATATATATATATATATATATATATATATATATATATATATATATGTTATTTTGTTCCATGTTTTTTTTCTGTAACTATATTTTAAGTTGATATTAATGGAAATCTCACTTTGGGGGGTATTTTGGTAATTTTAACCACAGGTGGGAAAGCTCATTTTGAATTGGTTGATTATCTAGAAGCTGAGCGTGCCTTTAGCAATGCCAGATTGGCTTCTCCTTATAGCTTAGAAGGAATGGATATTTATTCTACTGTTTTATATGTAAGTTCTCATTGGTATTATAACACTATAACTAAACCCCCAGAGGGCAAAATGGTAATTTTACATAATCTTTGGTCTCGTATGTTGTAGCACCTGAAGGAGGATATGAGGTTGAGTTATTTGGCACAAGAGCTAATATCAAAGGATCGCTTAGCCCCTCAATCATGGTAACCATTTTTAAAAAAAATATATAAGTGGTTGAGTTATCTCTTCTATAAGGAAATATATTTTATATTTTATTTACTTTTTTTTTTAAATATAAATGTGACAGGTGTGCAATGGGAAATTGCTTTAGTATGCAAAAAGACCATGAAACTGCTCTCAAGATTTGCATATGCTCACACCCTTTGTGGTCATGAGTATGATTTTTTTGCTTTTTTTTTTTTTTTTTTTCATATTTTGAAATTTGTTTTTTTGGATAGTAAGGGTAAAATGGTCATTTAGTCTTGTTCATACGCTTTATATTCATTTTAAAAAAGAAACAGACCGTACGTATACAACACATTATCCAGACAAACATCACACTATCCATTCAGCCAACGACATAACAGAAAAAATTAAACTCAATGTCCTGTTTGTGCAAAAGACGAATATGCCCTTACCCTCATTATAAAAAATATCCATAAAAGTTTGTCCTGTGACTCCTGTCCCATGTACAATGATCATTTTACCCTTCTATTTAAAAACAATGCTTGCTAACAAGGAAACAGTATCTTATTTTTGTTAGATTAAATGACCGTTTAACCCTTCTATTTAGAAACAATGCTTACTCACAAAAGAAATAGTATCTTACTCTTGTCTGAACAAATGATCATTTTAGCCTTCTATTTAGAAACAATGCTTACCAACAAAAGAAACAATATCCTACTCTCCTTTGAGTACATGACCATTTTACCCTTCTATTTAATGAATGACCATTTGACCATTCTATTTGGTAAATGATCATTTTATCATTGTATTTTGCAGGAGTCTGGAAAATATTTCATAAGGATGCCCAACAAATGGAACTTTTCATTTGATTATTTCTATTTTGCTTTTGTGGTGATAGCAACTCTATAATTCCATGTATCATTTAGGTGGGAAATCATTCGTTCTTATATGAAGATTTATTTGGTTATTGTTGTTGTATTATAAACATTTATAGCATTTGCCTTGTCTTTTGTCTTTTGTCTAATTGGATATTATTATATTTCATTTTAAAAATAACATTTAATATTTCAATAATTTCTTAATTATTGACCCTTTTCTTTTTGTCTAAAAGGCTAAATCAGTGACGACCTGTTATATAGTCACTAATTAGATAAAACAGTGACGACTTTTATTAGTGACGAAGCGGGTCGTCACGGATTTAGTGACGACTATATTTTAGTCACTGTTTAGTGACCATATTTATATCTGGTCACTAAATCGGTTTTGTGACGGACCTATAGTGACGAAAAGTGACGACCGATATTTTGGTCACTAAATCGGTTTTGTGACGACTCATTCTATTGTTAGTGACCATTTCGTTTTGGTCACTAATTGGCATATTTTTTGTAGTGGATAGACGAAAATGAATCCCACGTGTCGCGATTTTTTCACTATAAATAGACGAAAATGAATCCGATGTGTCGCGATTTTTTCACTATGTCTTCTCTGCTTATTTCTATTTGCCGGAAAATGCATAACGGGGTAAGCAACTGGTAAAAATATTCACTCTGTCTTCACCTTTCTTTTTTTTTTTTATGTAATTCTGCTATAAATTTTAAGGAAAAGTTGTTAATACTCATATTCATGGCCATGTTACAGATCGACGAACAAAAGAAAAATCACAAACAAAAAGATACAAATAAAAAAGATTATTATCAAACAAAAGAAAAAGAGTCAACTGATAATCATCACAAGCTGGTGATTTGTTCAAAGTTGAGTCACTTGAAGCATATGCAAGCACAAAAAGAGATGAGAAGATGAGGATTACAGAGAAGATGAGATCCAAGTAGCTAATTGAGAATATTCCTAATGTATGATTAAATTAGGGTTAAGAATCACAACATCTTTTATCGTAATAGTGTGATTCCATGTGATCCTTTTTTTTAATTTGTTTATTTTTCATCATGTATGTCTTTATTATTTTTTGTATTTTATATATTATCAAAACTATATATTCGGTTCATTCATTTTGGGTAAAATACAAGAATTGTACACGTGTGGTTTGGGCCAATTTATATGTTCCTTCCTTTTTTCTTTTTTTATCATCTCTATGGTATTCTTTTGTTATGAATTTTGTTTCTGTTAGGCCTGAAATTACTATATTTATGTTTGATTTGGATTTGTATTTAGTTATGTGTTTTATGCTTATTTGGATTTTGTGTGGTGTTTATATATATATATATATATTTTTCTAAATTATTAAAGGAGTTGGTTCAGTTATGTTTAAAAACAAAAATATTGAATTCAACAAAAGATAATATCGAAGGGAAAAATTGACATTTTTATCATTCTACAAGGTAATATAGAGGTTCCAAATAAACAAAATGTAAAAAATCAAGATCTTAAAAATATAGACCCTTTTAGAAATTCACACTTCTTAAAATTTCATATCTTAAAAATCAAGATCTTAAAAATTCATATCCTACTAAGCAGCCTCTTACTTTGATTTAATATGACAATTTTTCGTAAAAAGAATGATTGGGGAGGAATTTAAGACTGGGTTCACACGTGTGTTTCCCCCAATTCACTCAAACCAAGGCTTTGATATCAATTTGTAACATCCATAAATTTTACGTCAAATTTAAACTTTTCAAGCATAAATAAAACTCAATAGTATTGTTTACAAAATGTTTTCAAATCATTATTCAATAAGAGTGTCCCAAAAGCCAGATCATAAGGATGAGGAGCGGTACGGTCACGTCTTCGCCTTGCCATGATCTCCTGAAGTACCTGAAACAATAAACTGAAAACTGTAAGCCTGAGGTCTTAGTGAGCTACCCCCAAAATACCAATACCACACTGATAATACCATATCCGTAATAATCAATCAATCAACATGCATACTGGGCCATCGGCCTGACTGGACCGCCCTATAGGGCTTACAGTCCAACTGAATCTATATCGAGCCTTCGGCATGACTGGACCGCCACGTGGGCCTATAGTCTCCCCGGACCGCTCATAGGGTGTGTTGGCCTTCAGCACAGAGCAGGACCGCCTCAACCCAAGCAACAATCAATTAACCATGGGCGCATAACTAACATATACTGGCATATACAAACATCAAACATATCTATCTCACTGATCACCAGACATAGCAATCTCTCATAACTAGAGCACTGACCTAGCAGGTCACTAACATATTAATCCCTACGGATCATAAGAGCATAACATACTGTCTATCCTGATTCCGATCTAACATATCATATCCACATGTAACATACCATAACGATAACAACTAAAGGGTCGGGCCTTGGTGCCTTAGACCCTATCGATATAGTGAGGATAACTCACCTTGCAGATGTCGACTCGGTAGATAAATTTCAACCCTCGGATCACTGCCACAAACTCCACCACCTATTACCATAGTATAATCATACCCATAAGTTCCCAACCCTTCAAGGTACCCCATAAGCCAACTAATCAACCCTGATCAAAGTCAAAGTCATCAGTCAAGGTCAACAGTCCATGTTGACCTTGACTCGCCGAGTATCCCCGGCTACTCGCCGAGTTCCTCGAAGTACTAACCCACTCGCCGAGTCACCTGAGTGACTCGTTAAGTTCCTTTGGTTTACGATCGAGACCCTAAGGCCACTCGTCGAGCTTCCTTCTTGCAACTCGACAGTTACCCGCGCATACATAAATTGGGGCAACCTCAACCGACTCGCTGAGTTGTTAATACACTCGTCGAGTCTACGACAATCTTCATCGGACTCGCCGAGTTGTTCTTCCAACTCGCCGAGTTCATGCCTATCTTCATGTGACTCGCCGAGCCGACCATGCGACTCGCCGAGTCCCTTCAGTCCTTTTTGCCATACAGACTCATTTGAGCCATGCAGCGGCTCCAAACTACAGATCCAAGCTTCTAAGGCATGCTTTTCATGTAAAGTTGCAAACTTTACGTGCATGCATAGCTACAAAGGATCTAAATGTCAAATCCAAGCTCACAATGGGGTTTCCTACCCAAGGAAGGCTTTATTCACGCCCAAACCAGAAACTTTGTGACTCTAGAACTTAAGAAGGGTCCAGATCTGAAGTTACAACTTCAGATCTAGCCCATAGTCCACCTTATCAACTCAAAGATCCATAAAAGCCCCAAATTCAACCAAAAAGATATCTAGAAGGGAAAAGAATACCTCTGGAAGATGCCAACTGAGGTAGATTCTGAGTCCCACACTTTCCTTGCTCCAATTCCCTTGCCTTCCAAGTTCCTACTCTCCAAAGATCTTCCTCCCAAGCTTAAAACACACACAATAGAGCACCACACGAATTAGGGTTTCTTAAGAGCTCTCTAGAACTGTAAAGAGGCCAAAGGAGGCTTATGCTTCCTTAAATAGGATACAAAACCCCGGGATTTAGGGTTTCATCTGCCAGCTCCTACTCGTCGAGTCCCTTAATGGACTCGGTGAGTAGGCCACTAAACACGCGATCCCACCCCGCTGCTACTCGACGAGTAGGGAAACCAACTCGTCGAGTAGGACTCAAAACCAAAGAAATTCTTATTTAAGTCAGTACCTGAGAATCGAGGCGTTACAATTCTCCCCCACTTGAACTAGACTTCGCCCACGAAGTCCTCTGGAATAAACAATGACGGGTAGTGCTCGCGCATCTCCGCCTCCAGCTCCCATGTCCACTCGGATCCCCTCCGATGTTCCCACTGCACCTTCACCAAAGGTATTTCCTTGTTCCATAAAATCTTTTTCTTCCTCTCTAAGATGGCCACAGGCCTCTCCACGTAATTCAGGCGCTCATCGACCTGAATATCATCCAGCGATACTACTGCCTCCTGGTCCATGATGCACTTTCGCAACTGCGAAACATGGAACGTGCTGTGGATCCGGCTAGGCTCCTCTGGAAGCTCTAGCCTATAAGCCACTTTACCAACCCTGGCAATGATCCTGAACGACCCAATATATCGGGGAACCAATTTTCCCCTCTTCCTGAAGCGGATCACACCCTTCCAGGGCGAGACCTTCAGGAGTACCATATCACCGACCTGAAACTCTAGCTCGGATCGGCGCCGGTCGGCGTAACTCTTCTGCCGACTCTGAGCGGTCTGCAGCCGCTGCCTAACCTGCTGAATCTTTTCGGTAGTCTGCAAAACTACCTCCGTCCGTCCCATCAGCCTGTGTCCGACCTCACCCCAACAAACTGGGGTGCGACACCTCCGTCCATACAACAGCTCGAAAGGCGGGGCACCAATACTGGAATGATAGTTGTTGTTGTAGGCGAACTCTGCAAGCGGTAGGTGAGAATCCCAGCTCCCACCGAAATCAATAACACACGCCCTCAACATATCCTCGAGGGTCTGAATGGTCCGCTCGCTTTGACCGTCGGTCTGCGGATGGAACGCTGTACTAAAGTGCAGCCGCGTGCCCAGTTCCTCGTGGAACTTCTGCCAGAAACGGGATGTAAATCTAACATCCCGATCGGAGACAATGGAGACCGGAACCCCATGGCGAGAGACAATCTCGTTGACGTACATATCAACCAATCTTTCAGCCGACGAACTCTCCCGTATGGCCAAGAAATGGGCACTCTTGGTCAACCAATCCACGATGACCCATATAGCATCGAACCCCTTTGCCGTCCTCGGTAATTTCGTAATGAAGTCCATCATGATCTGTTCCCATTTCCACATGGGAATCTCCAGAGGCTGCAGCTTACCATGCGGCCTCTGATGCTCGGCCTTGAACATTCTACAGGTCAGGCACCTCTCAACATACCAAGCGAATTCTCGCTTCATACATGGCCACCAGTAGCTCAAAATCAAATCTCATTACATCTTGGTGGCCCCTGGGTGTATAGAAAAGTGAGACTTATGAGCCTCCTCCATCACTGTCTGTCGGACCCCTCCGGACATCGGAACCCAAACCCAACCGTGTCGGGTCAATAACCCGCGGCTATCCTGAACAAACCGGGTGCTCTCGCCCTTAATTCGCTCCAACTTCCAGTTCTCTGGTCTCATGCCCTC